AGTTACATTTCTGGTAAAATTCTGTTGTAAGATAAATGAAAAATACTTTGAAATAAAACAAGTAATTGAATTTTTATTCAAATTTAAATTCTTGTCTTGGGTCTCGTTATATTTTACTATAAAAATGTTGCCCGCGTAATATAATGTCTTAAATATCGGGTAACGAGTAAAATATGATAATAGAGGTCTTACATCACTTGTCACGTTCTATCCCAGTCTTGCCTCCTACCTATAGTGCTTGATGCAAATATTTATTTTCGCTTCGTATTTTAAACCGTTTATACCGGAGAATATTATACTTTCCTTTTTGAAGTGCGAGAAATATAATATATATTTAAAACGGGAAAATTGAAAGTTGTTTAACATCGGTGAAAAAACATTATTCCTTAAATTTCGCAAGTCGAAAAATAACGGGAATTATATCGAAAATTATTTCATTCGATTCGGAACAAAAGTAAAATATAATTATATCGTAATTCGTGTACATTTTAATTACGACACGTTCCCATGTTCAAGAATCACGTGATTCGTCACCGGAGCAGGCAAATAAATGGGCGAAAAATATGACTTACCAGCTACGATACCAGTGATATGGCACTGCAGACAGACAACGAGAGCGAGCAACGATGTAGTTCTCATTTTTCACTCGATTCGAACCGCAGCCCTGCTGACAGACCAACTCTCGCCAAATCGATCGATGATCGTATATATATCGTAGGAACGCACGTGTAAACGTCGCACAATCGCGAAGAACCTCTCTGTGTTCTCGGTCCGTCACTGCCTCTTACCACGTAAACATTTGCGAGCGATGTAAACGCTTTGCCACGTTCAATTCTCGACGTCCAACTATCCGACACGATCCGACGCGTACCATCCCTATCGTCCCATAACAATTAATATTTTCGATATCGGGAAGCGAGAAACGTTAACCAAACTTCGCTTGACGTTTCGTCGCCGGCAAACGAGCGGACAACATCCTCCCTCCTACAAGGATCGAAACCGACTGAGCACGACGCATCGAGCCCCTATGCATCGTTGCCTGAAAAAGGGGTTATGCGCACGTGCGGGCGTCGACCAATCGGAACGCGCGAATGGCTATTGCTAACCGCACGCGATGCTCCGCGATTTTTTTTTTCTCGAATTTAAAAAGTGCCTTTCCCTGTTTTCGTACACGAGATCCATGGAAACAGATTCCGCAGCCTCTTGTCGCTGTGAAATTCTGACATCCGACCAGGCTTTTTCTTTCATCGTCGCGTAACACGAGACTCGGATCGAGCGTGTACGTGTGTGCGCACCACGCTCGAGAGTATGCACACACGCGCGTTGCAGCGCAACAGGCACGCGAGGACGTGAAATCTGAACTTGCGGTGTTTAAACAGATTTATGGAGAAAGATAATTTTCTGGTGTACGATGCTTATGAAGATTATAATGTAAGTTGTAAGTTGTTCGGAGAATTTTTTTTTTTTTTAATGTAATTGTATCTATGATATTTTAGTAATCGAATTATTCCTTTTTGTATCGGTTAAAATATCAGTGATTCATCGAAGCAACGATTTTAATACATTTTTATATTGAATCAAAATATATTGCGCATACTCAAACGCGTTTATGCGTTTCTAATCTCTTCTCGTTATGCATATCCCGTGAATTTTATTCGTTCGCTTCAAAAAAAAGTGCACATATATTGTTCAATAAATTTAATTAAAAGTTTCTAACTTTGAAAATATGAACTACGTGTTGCAACTATTTTTTACATTCGGGGATTAAATTTTTTTATCGGAATACATGCGAGTACGTAACTTTTGACATATTGTTTTAATATGTTTCAATAACGTTATTCGAAAAAAAAAATGTACGATAAAAAATAATCATAATTTTCAAAAAAAAAAATAATCATTTTAGACAATTTTTTATGAATAAAATTACATTTCACGAAAAATTAAAATTCGTATATGATCAAATCATCAAAAAATAATAAATGTAAGAATTAAAACAATAACATTTGAAATTCCATTTCTTTGTCATTTAGCCAACATATTCTTAATTATATAAAATCCCATACATATATTACGTATATTATAAAATAATCTGTATTATATATTGAAACAAATCCACGTTTTAACAAAATTGATTATCAACTCCTACTAAAACATATTATGGATTCTCATGGAATTCTCATTTTGATTTTGTTTGTTCGTGAATTATTTACGCGTCGTAATTTCAAACTGCATATTGTTTCCCGTCGAAAAACCAGCCTTTTCCCCCCTCCCCCCCCCTCCCCCTGTTTATTCGCATGACAGATTGTTCGTCGCTGTCAGACGCATTCAACGTAGTAGACCAGTTTCAAAGAATTATTTGAACCGTAAACATGGTTGCAAATAATTTTACAGAAAAAGATTTTTCATCATTGAAAATGCTTTTAAATAATAACCAATAAGATATATTTTAAATAAGAGATCCATTTATAATTTTACGTGAATATTTATTTAATTAAATTTATAACATGAGACGATATAAAAAAAAAAGAGCATTGTTAGATTTGAATAGAATATATTTCGACATAATATTTGAATATTCGCAAAAGAATAATAATATATAATGAGGAAAAAAGAAGAAATTTTTGCCGAAACCCGGGATCGAACCGGGGACATTTAGATCTTCAGTCTAACGCTCTCCCAACTGAGCTATTTCGGCTTGTTTTATTAAAATTTTTAATGGCGGTTTTATTAAAATTTAAAAAGATCGATTGACTTATCATTTCGTTAATTGTAAAATATAATTCATCTTTTTTTTTTCTTCTTCTTCTTTTTTTTTCACACAACCACGATGATATTTTATTTCAATATAAAATATATTTTAATTTTTAGTTTCTATCTTATTTATTTTATTATCACGCATTTCGAAACATCATAACCTAAATGTTAATATTTTTATAGAAATAAAGTAATCTTTCGCAATATAAACTTTTTTTATTATATTAATTAATATTATATATTATATTAATAATTATTTGAATTTAATATTGATTTGAATAGAATGTTAAAATATTGAAATAAATAAATATCGTAAACGATTTATAGATTTATTGTATAGCACACTTGTTGAATTTCATTGGCGTACTAACAATATGCTAACGATAATTGGTCAAGTTTTAATAATACTCACGATAAATTATTGTCCATGGTTTGGATTCGTCATTCTTTTCTCTAACTCGACCTACTTTTATCACATTGTTTCACATATCCTGCTGCTTGTCAATCTTAGCACGATGTACAAGTTTACATTTCCCAGAACAGACGTTAAGGTTATTCGAAGGGAGAGAGATTGGTTGCAATTCATGGTCGCCGGCGAAATCATACGATAAACAAAGATGGATATAAATACTACGTAAACAAGCCACGAATTTAAGAGAGAGACAAAAGAGATTGTCAAGGACGGATAAGTTTAACTTAGACATTACTTACTAAAAGTAATTTTATTTAATTTAAAAAAAACTAATTATATAAAATGTTGTTCAATAATCATTGCATATATAAATTTTTCATATTAAAAATTTATGAATATACATTACGATATTAAAAATTTCATTTTAGAATCTAATTATTAAATGTTATTAAATAAATTAGAATTAAAATTAATATAGATTTGTTTTCCATCTTTG